GTTCATTTGAAAGTTCAGAAAATTAAAAATGTGATTAGAATAAAAATTAAACATTAAATTTTATAATTAATTTTTTTTCCATAGATATTCAAAAATTTTATTTCAAGAAGAAATAAATAAATTTCGTTCATACGAAAGTACTAAATTAGTACTTTTCTTTTTTCAGTCAAATAAATATTTATATTTGGTAAATGTAATATATTTTATTTTGAAAATTTACCATCGGATTATTTTTGAATGAAAAATAGATTTTGTTCAGTGTAGTAATTTTTCTTATTGTTTAGAAAACATAATTGATAATCTCATTTTTTTAAAAATTTAAAAAATAAAAAAAATCTAGACTTGGACAAAAGACGATTTTATATTGTAATTTCGAGTTTTATTGTCGAAATTTCAAAATTTTAAGACTTTAAAACACCTGTTTATTACGAGGTAAAACTGTCAACGCAAAGAGAAATGAATGCACCATTGTCTCTCTAAATTTATTTAATCGTTGTTGGCAAATTTTGCTCATATCAGCTTCACTTTAACAGTTAAACCGTAATTCTAGTGAAAAAATACTGACAAAACTATTATTAGCAAATAAATTGGAATCAAGTAAAAAAAATCTAAACTTACATCCTATTGTTTAAATAAGTAACAAATCTCTTAAACAGTTTCAGAAAAAATTGTGTAATTTTAATTCTTTATCTAGTGAAAAAATACTGACAAAACTATTATTAGCAAATAAATTGGAATCAAGTAAAAAAAAAGCTAAACTTACATTTTATTGTTTGAATAAGTAACAAAACTCTTAAATAATTTCAGAAGAAATTGTAAAATTTTAATTCTTTAATTTAATTTGATTTAATTTGATTTAATTTGATTTTATTTAATTTTTTATTTAATTTTATTTAATTTTATTTAATTTTATTTATTTCATTCGATTTCATTTGACAGTCACTGATTTCTTTTGATAGAGCATACATATATTTTTTTTATTCCTCTACTATTTCTACATCGTCGTCTTTATTTTTAACTCGTTTCCGTTTGTGTGACATCAACAGCGAACTTGAACTGAAATATATGTAAAATTTCTTTTTTCTTTGGAAAATTCACAAATTTTGCATTAATCACTTTCGTATTTTTGTTTATTGCGTGTATAGAAATATATTTATTTAAGTGGATTTGTCATTAGTTTTTTTTAGTTGCTGTGGTAAATGGTGTGCTTATTGACGATTGTGTGCAATACAGTGTTTACTGTATCAGTTGTTTGCCCACGCTTATAATACGTAGTGTGCTTTTTCTGATGACGCGAATTTTCAACGTGATTTAATTTTATTCTTGGCAATTGTATTGTTATCATAATACCAGCACGAATCATCGTATTGTGGGCGAACATTTTTTTTTTAAAATCTTTATTTCATTATGATTACAAATACAAAACAATATTAATTCTTTTCTTCGCGAGGCGTCACAATTACAAAATCTTATATCTCAAATCAATAAAAAGTGTTTTTCATTACAAATACTCAAAAATCAAATCTTTCGAAATAACACATTTTTGGTGGTCGATATAAATCAAATTTTCAATTCTGAAAGAACTTAATTAAATTTTAAAGTTTTTTAGTTCAAATTTAAACCAAACAGAAAGATTTTCTTTTCTATCAACAAAGTTTTTCTGCAGATATCAAATTGAGACAAAAAACGAATCAAAAATGTTGCTTCGCAACACTTTTGATTCGTTTTTTTATCTCAATTTGATATCTGTAGAAAAACAAAAGCTGAATTGAAAATTGCAAAATTATTTTTAATTCGAACTTTTACAGGAAAAATAAATAAAATTCTAAATCAATAATCGTATCAGATACAAACAGTATTCGGAGCAATTTCTAAAATTTGGGCAATAGTATAAAAAATAGATTGCGAGTAATAAAATAAACTTCCTTGAAATTCGCGCTGATTAGAAAGATTGAAACAATATATAAGTCTGAACGTAAATCACTGGCTATACTATAAGCAGTAAAACCACTGTTTACAATGAAAGACATGCTTCATAACACATTTTTGAAAATAATTTATTGGCAAACCTCGAAACTTTGTTAATACTATATGCTTTTACGCGATTTCCACACATTCTCAACAGAATCGCGTATGAAACTTTGAAAATAATTTTTTTAACGTTCCGAAGAATTTCAATTTTAAATCGTGAATTTCGAAAATGGATCTGAATTCGAAAAATCGAAGAAAACCGTAATAGTCATTTTCAACATTTATCGAGGGTAGAACCGTTTATAATTTTTTAAAAATCAAAGTTCTAGACCTCTAAATAATAATTAAGATGAAAAAATTCAATTTTTTCGTGTTTCATATTTTTTTGCATTTCGTACTCTTTGCACAAAGTTTCTGCTTTTAATTTGAAATCAAAAGAGGTTTTTTTATTAATATTAAATATTTTCAGAGTTGATTTCTTGTAATTCACGATTCGATTTATTTCTTTGTGATATTATTTTTAATTTTAAAAATTGGTTTATGTGGAAAAAAAGTAAATGACTATTTTTATGTACATATATGGAAAATAGTGTATGGAAATTTTTTCAATAAACAATAAAAAGCTTACCTGAGCTTTCACTTAGATTTTCGACCGTTTGCGCCAGTTCGATTCTCTGTCTCAAAATTAGATACAATCTATTTTTGTGTATCACACTGCTCGCTCCAGTTTTAACAGTTCTTCGGACACAAAACTCTCGTGTCTCTCGATTTTTCATTATACGCACTGTTATTGTCATATTTTTCCCCGAAAAGTCTCTGAAAACAACTATAAAAATTTACATGCATGACGAGTGATCAAGTATATACGCACTTAGCAATAAAAATCGATTTTCTAAAAGATATAATCAAAATTTCACTGTAGAAAAGCAAATTTTACTTATTTCAGTTCAATTTTGACTAAAATCGTTTATATTAGAAAATTTTTTGACTAAATAAAACGTATAGCTTTAAATTTAAAAATAGGCTACTTTTCAATTATTTTTATTTTAATAGACGGTTACTGATTTTGTTTTTTTTTTAATTGAAGCAAAAGTGTTTTTTACTTTTGATTTTTACAATTGTTTCGTAAAAAATTCTGAGAATACAATGAAAACAAAAAAAAGTAAATTTAAAAAAGCAAAAGCTCCGAAGAAAGGTACCTAAGAAGTAAGAAGCAAACAATTTTAAGGTTATGTTTGCGTTATTTTTCACCTTAATTAAAAGTTTCTGCTTTCAATTTAAAACTAAAAGCGGTTTTTATTAATTATTTTGAACGTAACGAAGACTAAACATCACTGGATTATTTTGAAACTTGGTCCCCTTGGTGTATTTTCATTCGAAAAATTACAAACATAACCTCAAATTTTTTTGCTGTTTAGGTACATTTTTCGGATCGCGTCACATATTTTCATTTTTTGTTTTGCTGCTTTGGTCAATTTTTAATAATATTTTCATTAATTGCTTTCAAAATTAATAAACTCCATGTAATTAATTTGTATAAATTTCGTTTATTTGAAGAAAATCCTAACTAGCTTTTAATAACCAAAAAAATCAAACTAATTAAAAATTTATAAAAAATATTAAAAATTTTAATCATTATCTGACAAAGAATATTTTGAATAATTGATTTGATTTGATTGTGAATTTGATTTTTTTATTTATTTTGGGATGTTTCTAAAGACTCGAACGATCAAAAGAGAAGAACAATTTTTTGTTATTCCCCTTTATTTTTATATTTATTTATTTATAATACATTTTCGGAAAATCTGTAGGATTATAAATGTTTAACTAAATTACTAACTAAATTACATAATAATAGTAATAAAATGCAATGCGAATAAAAAACAATAAAATGACAAAATCAGATGAATTTAATTTTTCTTTGAATTTATAGTTTATTAACAAAATAATTTGAATATTACAAAATTTAATTCTTAACTAAGTAAATATTTAATATGTCGGAGAGACTTTTTTCCATTTCAGTATAATATACTCTCTAAATTTGAATTAGCAAATGTTTTCACTAATTTGAACTGGCAGCTGACTTTTTCTTTTTCAATTAGTAAATTTTACTAATAAATTTTACTGACACTAATAAATTGCTAAAAATTACTATTTATTAGCAAAATTACTTAAAAAAATTTACTAATATTAATAAATTGCTAGAAATTACTATTTATTAGTAAAATTTACTAATAAATTTTACTAATACTAATTAAATTGTTAAAAAATTACTATTTATTAGTAAAATTTAAAAAAAATTACTAATGCTAATAAATTGCTAGAAATTACTATTTGTTATTAAAATTTACTAATAAATTGCTAGAAATTTCTATTTATTAGTAAAATTTCTTAAAACATTTTACTAATACTAATAAATTGCTAGAAATTGCTATTTATTAGTAAAATTTAAAAAAAATTTACTAATACTAATAAATTGCTAAAAATTACTCTTTATTAGTAAAATTTTAAAAAAATTTACTAATACTAATAAATTGCTAGAAATTACTATTTATTAGTATTTGCTAATAAATTTTACCAATACTAATAAATTGCTAGAAATTACTATATATTAGTAAAATTTATTAATTAAAAAGCAAAAAGTCAGTCGCTAATTCAAATTAGTAAACATTTTCACTAAAATTGAAAAGAGTAAATAAATAAATAAAAATAAATATTTTAAGTATTTTATGAAAATATTTGAATGAAAAAAAATTTTTCCTTGATTTGAACTTTCAAAACTTTAGGTAAGGGAATTAAGGTCGAAATTCAAAATTTATTTTTAAATAACTTTTACAAAGGGTACATTCACAAATAAAGTCACGTTTTTAGGGAAGGGATGAGGAGAGGGGGGAGGGGTTTAATTGCGTGAAAAAAGGGGAACGTTCAATAAAATTTAAATAGAAATTAAAAACCTATTTTCTTTTCCAAAAAAAAAAATTTTTGTATAAATAATAATAAATGAAAGAATAATTTAAAAATTTTTGCAGAAATAGCTGTTGAACCACAATATTCCTGAAAGATGTCAAGGCACATTCTTAGCAGGCCACGTACGCGTGTCTATGGATGCAATTACGACAAGGGCGAATCGTATTACAAGCCGATGGTGGACCATCTCGACCGGAAGTACAGTGGTCGTCCTCTATTCTCCGAACCAAGAAATTCATTAGCCGACGAAATTGCGGCTCGCCGAAGTGACATCGGTAACATCTTCAATCGTTTTCCAAAATGGTTTTGAGGAATGAAAACGTATTGTGCATCCTTCTCGTCCACCCGCTCGTCTCCCCCACTTCGTGGATCTGTTTAGAATGCTCTCGTGACACGTTATTTTACAAGTTCCGTCTTTTAATATGCAAATTAGAACATCCTCAAAAGTCCTCATTTTCTCCAAAATTCTTCAAATATATTGCTGCCTTTAATCTTTTACTTTTTTCTACTTTATTCTGTTTCACTTTATTCTAAATGTGGTAAATTCTACTCGTATTCTGTATCACTGTATTCTAAATATAGTAAATTCTGCTATATTCTAAATATGGTAAATTCTACTATACTCCAAGTATAGTAAATTCTGCTATATTCTAAATATGGTAAATTCTACTTTATTCTAGTTATGGTAAATTCGACTATATTTGAAGTATTGTAAATTTTACTATATTCCAAATATGGTAAATTCTGCTATATTTTAAGTTTAGTAAAATCTACTGTATTCTGAGTATAGTAAATTCTACTATATTCTAAATATGGTAATTTCCACTATATTCTAAATACAGAATGAATTTTTTCGAAATACTTTCTATTCTGTTATTATATGTATTTTTAACTACTTTTTTTAGCTAATTAATTCCATTTTGATCGATTATTCCGTATTATTCTGCAATAATACTTAATTGTGTTATCTTTCAATAACTCATAATTGTATTATTTCTCAATAATACCCAATAATCGTACATTTTTTTTAATAATGACAAAAAAAATTGTTTCGAACTAGTTTTCAATAAGTTACCACTGCATATTTTTCTAAAGAGTATATTTATCTGTACAAAATTTTGATTGTCTTTATCGAATATTAAATTTCAATTACAGATATTATTTCAATTAAAGAAATTTTTTCTCTATCTACAAATTTTGATATTTAAGCATTTTTTCCTAATTAAATAAAACAAATAATAAGAGAATAAATATAGTGAGAAGAATTATTAAAGACAGCAATGAATAACGAACGTTTATATTTTGACTAATCAGCATCCTTTGTCTTTAAAAAAAAAGAAATGGGCGTGTAGATAGTTTTTTTGTTTTTTCTCCCGATTTATGTGTCTACTGTCACTTTTATCAAATCCTAATTGTTGTCCATAATCATTACTGTATTGGAAAACTTGGCTGTTTAATAAACGTCTACTTTTCTAAACCTCTGACTTTGTATCGACAAAAAAAAGGCCAATGTGTTCGTACACGATTCGCGATTACCATCCTTCCTTCAATTTCTCTTCTGCTTTCATATCCACTCTTATTTTTTATTTTTATAAACAAATTAAATTATTTATTAATTAATTAATTAACAAATTAATTAATTAAATATCTTTTTTGAAACACAATCACAATAATCGATATTCGATTATTTTTATACAATAATTCATGCTCTTAATTTTCAACTGAATAAAGTGTTTAAAATGCATTTCTAGTGCCACGTGAGTTAAAATATCTTTTAAAAATTAAATATAACGAGAAATTATAATAATAACGAAAGAAATAAAATAAAAATAAATTTGTGACGCTCCACTGTGAAAGAGATATGTTAAATTCTTATTAAATCGTTCAAAATATACAATAAAAACTATTTCTTATTTAAAAATATTTAAAAGAAACTCGTTTTCATTTTAATCATGATTTAAATCGAATTTTTACTTGAAAATAGATTTTTTAATCAAGTTTGATTTTAAAGGAAAAATCCAACAAACAATCGGAACAAAAGTTAGTCCAATATTATAAATTTCGCATTTTAAAAGAAAAGGTCAAATTAAATTCCTTTTGGTAGAAACGTAAGGAATTTAATTTTCTACATTTTGAAACAATTTAAAGTTATACTTGAATTAAAAATTACAATTCCCTTTGAATATGAAACGATTTATGGAACATAAGCTATAATGTTTAACAAAATGTTTCTTAATTGACTGAAAATTGTAATTTTTATTCAAATGCAACTTTTAATCGTTTTAAATGTTCAAAATTAAATCCTTCGCCTTTCCACCAAAACGAATTTAAAATTTAATGTCTTTTTCTTTTAAATTACGAAATTATAACATTGGACTTAAAAAAAGATTTTTTTTAAATTTTTTTCGCAAAGGAAAATATTGGTAACTTAAGTTAGTCATGATTTTTTATTTTATATGAAAAAGATAATTAATCAATTTTAAATTCGATTTAGTTATTTATTTTTATTTAACCAAAAAAAAAATTCGATTTAGTGGAAGTATGAAGAATTAAATTTTCAAGATTTTAAGCAATTAAAAGTTGCATTTGAATAAAAATTACAATTTTTCGTGAAAAAGTCAAGTTCCAGAAAAAATTGATTTAAATCAAAGAAGTTGGATTTAAAAAAAAAATTATGATTTTTAACAATTCTGATTTCACTAATAAAGGTAAAATGAGATCATAAAAATAACCTACAGTTTATTTGGAAAATTCCTTTCTCCGTGGGGCGTTATATTTACTTAAAAATAGTAACATTCTATTATTTTTGAATCAATAAAATTTGAATTTTTGAATCTAAACTATAAAATTTTATTACAAAATCTTTCCATACAGTTTTCACTTTTGAATTTATGGAAAAAATTACAAAACTCGAACTTTTTGATGACGAATCAAAAGCTTCCTGAAGTTGGCGCTGAAAAAACAATTTTCTTTTTAAAAATCGAAAAGAATCATGAACAATTCTTTTAAACATTTTATATTTTATATTAAGTGCTCTGAGTTTTGAAAAGGGAGTTAAAAAACACTCCCTAGGTTAAATAGAAGAAATGATAAAAAAAAAGTAAAATTATTGAAATTTTCGACGCTAACTTCAGGGAGATGAGAGAAGTAGAAAAAATTCTCACAAGCTGTAAAAAATCAGTTATTTCGATAAATTTTGATGATCGAGAGAATTTTTTTTCTGTTTATTTTCTAATTGACCTTCGGTGAGAGGGATGTTTTCACACATTAGCCTTGGCATTGAGTCAGTGTGTACATATATTTATATATTGTAATTGGAAAATTAGACGTGTGTGATGAATAATATGCTGACATTGAAAAATACGAAAACCGTGGGAGACGAGGATGCATTTGTGAAAACGTGAGAGGGATGCTAATTTTAAAACTGTCGTCGCTTTGGCTAATGTCGCGGACACGATGGCCTTGAACTACTTTCCAATCCTACGGTGGAAAATTATTTCCGCAATCGTTGAGGCAATCGTGACGACAAAAATAGGGTCGACATATTATAAAGTGCCATGTATACATTTTACACCCAGGTTCATGCAACTATGAAAAACCGATTTTCTCGTACGTTGACCCAGATCATGAGGGAGAGAGAGAGAGAGAGAGAGAGAGAGAGAGAGAGAGAGAGAGAGAGAGAGAGAGAGAGAGAGAGATTAAAATCTTCAGTTTCGATAAGATTATTATATTAATGAGCTGGACAATTTTCTATAATAATAATAATTTCTGCGATTTCAGGAAAAGAGATTATTTTTTATTATGTACCTGAGTTTGACGCACGTGAGTTAGAAATGCGATCAACTCTTGTAAAGAGTAATTTTTTTTCATTTGTTCCAACTGAAGAAACAAACTTTTGTATTGAAAAATATTTTTTTTAGATTTTTTTTTATAACTTTAAAAATTATCTATGGATATTAATTAAATATATACACTCCCGCTCAATAACTTTTGCCCACCCTACAGCGATTGAAGGCTTTACAAAAAGTTTTGTATTTTGTTTATTATTAAATATAAAAAGCTCAAAAAGGTCTCTTTTTAAAGCTCTTTTCCTGAGCTTTAACACTGTATAAAACAAAAATCAAAAAAAATTAATTTGTTAATGTTTAAAAAATGTTATTGCAACATAAAATTTTTCGTTTTTTTTTGTTTTTTTTAAAGTGATACAGTTTGATAGGAAATGGTCGCATTTTAATCCCACATATATTTTCTGAAAGCTAGTTTTATCACCTTTAAAATGCATTTTTTAAAGATTTTATACGATAATTTTTAAGAAAAATATGATTTTTTGTTTAAAAAAATAGCCATTTTTTTCAATTGTTGATAACTCTAAAACGGTTACTTTAGGAAAAAATTTTTAAGAACATAAATTATTCCTTTTTATGTGCAGAATTAGAAAAAAAATATTAAAAATTTTTTTGACTTTTTTTGAAAAAAAGAATTTTTTTCCATTGTTGATAACTCAAAAACGGTTGCTTTAGGAAAAAATTTTTAAAAACTTAAATTATTCCTTTTTATGTGCAGAATTAAAAAAAATGCTTGTTGTAGTAAGTGTAAAAAGCGAGTCTACAATTAAAACTAAAAAATATAAAAAATGAAAAAATTATTTTTTTCAAAAAAAGTCAAAAAAAATTTTTGGAAAAAAAAATTTTTAATATTTTTTTTCAAATTCTGCACATAAAAAGGAATAATTTATGTTCTAAAAAATTTTTTCCTAAAGTAACCGTTTTTGAGTTATAAATAATTGAAAAAAAATTTTTTTTTCAAAAAAAGTCAAAAAAATTTTTTTGAAAAAAAAATTTTTAATATTTTTTTTCTAATTCTGCACATAAAAAGGAATAATTTATGTTCTTAAAAATTTTTTCCTAAAGTAACCGTTTTAGAGTTATCAACAATTGAAAAAAATGGCTATTTTTTTAAACAAAAAATCATATTTTTCTTAAAAATTATCGTATAAAATCTTTAAAAAATGCATTTTAAAGGTGATAAAACTAGCTTTCAGAAAATATATGTGGGATTAAAATGCGACCATTTCCTATCAAACTGTATCACTTTAAAAAAAACAAAAAAAAACGAAAAATTTTATGTTGCAATAACATTTTTTAAACATTAACAAATTAATTTTTTTTGATTTTTGTTTTATACAGTGTTAAAGCTCAGGAAAAGAGCTTTAAAAAGAGACCTTTTTGAGCTTTTTATCTTTAATAATAAACAAAATACAAAACTTTTTGTAAAGCCTTCAATCGCTGTAGGGTGGGCAAAAGTTATTGAGCGGGAGTGTATTATCAGGGTTGCCACAGGTCAGGGAAATCAGGAAAATCAGAAAAAAGTCAGGGATTTTTATTAAAAGTACTATTAGAAAATTAAATTTTTAGAATTCATCAAAAAATTCTGAATTATTGTATATTTTTTGTTTGCCTTATAAATTATGAAATTGCCAAGAATTCTAATACAAAAACTTCAATTTTTTCTATTTCTGACAATAATTTCTTTTTTAATAATTTAATTCTTATCACGAAATTATTATTTAGAAATTATTTAATGAATAATTTTACTTGAAAATTGCAAAATTAATTGGATTTCAAAAGAGTTGCGTTAACAATCTTCATAAAATTTCAATTATCTTTATAAATCATAAAATTCTTCTCCGAAATTCAATTATTTTTCAAAAAATTTAATAAAATTCTTGGCAAAATTACAATTATTTTCAAAAATTTGTCTCATTTCAATTATTTTTAATATCTACTATTTTAATAAAATAGAAGATTATTTTATTTATTTTTAATAAAATTCTCCAAAAGAATTCAATTATTTAAACAAGATTTTAATAAAATTTTCACAGGAATTCAATTACATATACTTACCAATTTTTTATAAATTTCTTCGCACCAATTCAATTATTTTTAATTTTTTAATGAAGTTTCTCGAAAGAATACAAATATATTCAGAGAATTGAAAAAAATAGTTCTGAGAAATTCAATTCTTTCGAAAAATTTAAATAAAATTCTTTTAAAAATTCTATTATTTAAAAAAATGTTAACAAAATTCCTTAAAAAATTTAATTAATAAAATTGCAATTTTAATAAAATTTTCCTAAACAATTCAATTATTTTTAATTAATTTTTAATTTTTTTAATTATTTTTATTATTATTCTTCTTAAGAATTCAATAATTTTCACAAATAATATATTTTTTTATGGGAATTCAATTATTTAGAAAAATATGAATAAAATGCTTAGCAAAAAATTAATTATTTTCATAAATAATAATATTTTTCTTCAAAATTCAATTATTTTCACAAATAAAATTCTTCACAGGAATTCAATTCTTTAAAAACATTTTTAAGGAAATTCGTTACAAGAATTCAATTATTTTCATAAATAACAAAACTTATCGCAGTATTTAAATTATTTTTCATACAATTTTAAATAAAATGAT